GGCAGGTCGGCGGGGCGGGGCGGGAGGGCGGGGCGGCCGCGGCGGGACGGGCCGAGCCGGGCTGGGACGGGCGCCGAGCGCGACTGCCGCTCCCGGCTCTGTCGGAGAACGGAGGGGGGGAGGGAGGGCGGGGCCGGGGCCGCGCGCCCGCGACGTCACGGCGGCCCCGCGTGGCTCTTAAAAGGGCAACGGCGGCCCCTGGAGACCGCCCCGCTGGGTCCGGCCGGCGCTCACCTGTGCGGGGCCCTGCCCTGCCCGGCCCAGCTGCCGGGTTCGGGGCTGTGACGCCGTGGCACAACGCGCAGAACGGCCGCGCCCTGAGCGCGTTACCGCGGCCGCGGCGCGGAGTCCGTAGCAACAGCGCGGGGCCCCGCGGCGCGGAGGGGGCACTGAGCGGCCACCGAGCCGGAGCCAGGCGGAACGGGGAGCGGGCGGCCCAGCGATGCGACCCTCACAGAGAGATCCTCTGAACGAGGAACTGTTCTGTAACTGCCCCAGAAAGAGAAATGAGGAATGGGTGCAGCGCGGAGCCGTGCGGGGCAGCGCGCCGCTCTCATCAGCTGCGCTTCCCGTCCCGTTGGCAACGGGGGCGCGATGTGCGCAGCCCGCTCCGGCAGCTCCGGCGCTGGGGAAGCGGCGGTCGGAAGAGCGTACTTAATTTAGTTCATAATCGTGGACTCCTTAAACTTTGCTAAGTTCTCCCCTCAAAGCGGTATGGGGGATATTAACAGCAACATCCTTGGAAAACAAAAGACAATGACTAAACGACGCGCTAAACAGCGCATCTCAGACCTGAATAAAATAATTCATCGAAAGCAGCGCAGATGGTTTGTTTTTTAAAGCAGATGCTGGTGCTGCACTACCGGCGGCCCCACGGCAGCGAGCAGAGCCGCCGCTTCTGCCGCTCCCTCAGCCCCAGCAGCGCCTGTCGTGTACCGTAGGAGAGGAAGGGCTCCCGCGCCCGGCACGCAGCTCCTCTGTGATCACAGCTCGCTCATCGCTGCTGTTATGGCTCTGCTAATAGGCTTTCGGTTTTATTAGAACGATCTTCATGAAGAGCTTTCAGTAATGGCAGGAGAAACAAAACAAAAACAGGACACAAAGCACCTACGTCGGATTAAAATCCTTAAATGTAACGTAATGTTTTGCTGCCTGAAAGCTCCTGTGAGCCCCGAGGGACAGGCTGTGTTCTCTGATTGATCTCAGTGGTTTTAAATGGCGCACTTCGTAATTTCTAGACTGCACTAAACATGGCTTAACCAAAACTGGCTCAGCAGTCACTGCTTTCCTTAATTCACGCTTGGAAACAAGGCAGTGTCCCACGGGCAGCTGCTCCCTGAACGCTGCTGGAACCACAGGCACAGGGCTGGAAACCCCACATCTGGTGCACAGGGATCTGACCCCACTTCAGGCCGCACCTTGCAGATCTCTAAGGAAAGGGCATCAGACTGCTCCGTGCAGGTTTCAGAGCGCTGTGCCCGGTACGCATCCTTTGCTTTCAGCTCATTTGATATTTTTCTGCAGTTTGTCTGAAGCAGAGTACGGCTCCGGTTACATCTCACAAAAGAAATGGATTGGTAGCCACGATGGGATATTTGGTGCATAAATGAGAGATCCGTAGTGTCTGCTGCTGCAGTCACTGCCAGAGTGGGTCTGTAAGAAGCACGAGAGCTGCAGCATTTGAAATCAGCGCTGGTGAGTCGTGTGGCTGAGCAGCACTGCTACCAAGGTTATGGAGCACGCAATAAGCTTTCCAAATGTGAGTGCCAGTTTCTTAGCATTTTTACTTGTATCACTTCATTTTGTATTGCTTTACACTATCTCAGCTTGGACTCCGAGGAAAGAAGCCTCAAAATCCAGATTTCATAAATGTTCTTAAAATATTTTGTGGCTTTAAACGCATACCTAGGTCCGTAATATCGCCAGGTTTGTGGGAAGACTTTTTGAGCTGCAAGGACCTCTACAAGGAAACAAAAACAAACAAACAAACAACTGCACACTAATTTAAGAAGGCTTTTTCCTACCAATCTTCGACACCATGGCTAGTTAAGTACAAATGCAATAACTACCATGAGGGCACCAGGAGGGTTGAGGGCTCTCTGGGGGTGGTAGGGCACAGCCTGAGGCCCAGGGACCGTCCCAGCACCTGCCCAGGGAGCCCCAGCTCCTGGTACAGTGCAGCAGAGGTGGGGCTGAGCCCTCCATGCTCCGGCCCAGGGCCAAGGTCAGGGTGCTGGACAGCAGGGCTCCTAGTGCCCACGAGGCCCTGACAGACCCCATCAATTGCAGGGATTTTGAGCTGTAGAACCGTGAAGGTCAGAAAAAATCTCTGGATAATCAAGCCCAACCCATCCCCACCACGTCCACTGAACCACGTCCCTCAGTGAGGCATCTCCATGGTTCCTGAGAACACTGTGCACTCCTCAGACACAGCACCTCACTGCACACACACTGCCCTCACCAAGGCACATGGGTGCAATTCATAAATATTTCCAACTGAGGAAGCAGAGAACAACTGCATCATTAAGTATGAAAAGTGCGATGAAACAGAGGAAAACACTCTGACTCCCTTAATAGAAATGAAGAGGAAAGTGCAGATATGGAAATATTCTTCACATTTTACTTGCAAAAAGTTACATTGGTGCTGAGGCTACCATTGCTGTTAAGGGTGCAGAGGGTGTTGAAGTGGACATGCAGTGCCTCCCCACAGTGCAACACTGATGTTAGCACATCAAGGTGTACCTCAGTACTGTGCTCAGATCCTCATATCTCAAAGCGCCCTTTGTAGCTGTTTGGTTTTCATCTCCCAGGTGAGCAGTGACTCCTCAAAGGCATGCAGCTTCTGGGCACCAGCAGGGCTGAAGCACATCCCAGCACTTTCAAGGCCTAGCCCTGGGACTTGAACCAATGCTGCCTTTGGGCGAGGCAAGATCTCTGCCTTAACATTCCCACATCTGTATTTAAAGCATTAGGCTGTGACTCTGCACAGCTGCTGAGTTTTAGCACTCGAATTGCAGCTGACACACACTGGGGCTGTTAATGGTTCAGCAAGGATGTGCCACGTCCTGACCCTGGGGTGGCACAGGGCGCAGCGCCCACTTGGGGCTGCTGCACCAGGACTGCGTTACACCTGGAGTCTGTACGGTGACCGGGGCGGCTGCCGCACATGATGGCTGTGATGTCGCTTTGGTCCCCACCCGGGCTGCCACCTCCCGCAGGGACGGCGGCTCCTCAGCGACGACAGCACTGTTAGAGCAACGCACAGGTGAACGTCCCTGCAGGCTACGGCTGGGCTGCCCCTTGCCGAGCGCCAGGCCGTGCGGTGTCTGCAAGCCACCAGCAGCTCACGGCTGTTCCGAGTGGGTTCCAGCAGTTTGTCGCTGGGATCTATTCTTCCCACCACCAAAACGCCATTTCCCGCAGCGGCACCGCCCGCCGCTATCCGGGGCTCGGTGCTGAACGCGCGGCACGGCTCGGCACATCCCGGCACGGCTCGGCACATCCCGGCACGGCTCGGCACGGCACGGCTCGGCACCGCACGGCACGGTTAGACTCGGCACAGCCCGGCACGGTTCGGCATGGCTCGGCTCGGCTCGGCCCGGCTCGGCATGGCTCGGCACGGCTCGGCACAGCCCGGCACGGCTCGGCTTGGTACGGCATGGCACAGCACGGCCCGGCTCGGCTCGGCTCGGCTCAGCTCAGCAGAGGCGGCACAGCGCGGCGCAGCGGCGTCTTCCTCCACTCCTCACCCTCCACCCGCACCACGTGCCGGCCCAATTGGTTGCCGATGTTGTACCGATCCCTCTCACTTGGATTCTCTGAGACCCTGTGTGAACACCTTCAGCTCCCACAGCTTCACGTGACACACAGCACGCTCTGCACCGTCCCTTTCCCTGGCCCCAAGTGCCCGTGATGACGCAGTTACTGCCGTTGATTGTCCTGCCGCTCCGAGGGGTTCGGGATGTCCGCCCAGGAACCACGACGAGCATTCAGGCTACAGCAGTGCAAAAGAGCTGTCAGTACATTCGGTATCTGTAATCGTTTCACAGTTCACCCGTTGTGCCACACGTCCGTGTCTTACTGAGTCTGGCTGCGCTCCGAGGCAGCAGGACAGCACTCATTGGCGCTGCTGTGCATTGCCTGGACGGAAGCTGTGTTTAAAGAACGCTTCCCAATGTCCGTCGGCGACGTTACTGCCAGGACTGTGTTGAGGCAGCCCCAGCACCAGGACGCTCCGTGACCTTGGCAGTTAGCTGGTGCTGGAAAGGGGCAGGGTCATGGAGTGATGTTCTTCTTCCCTTTTTTTAAGAATCTTTTTGGCAAAACGTTCCCCGGTTGGCACTGCCAGACTTACTGGGGCACTGGTTTGGCCACGGTACAGGCAGCTCTCACTGTGGTCTGGATCTGAAGCACGGGATGCAGCCACAGTGCAGCTGTGAGCGCGTTTCCTGGAGCTGCTGTGAGCTGTCAGACTGCGGGCAGATAACGTCCCTCACTTCTGCCATCACACTGCTATTTCTTTCGTATCAGGCACTCCACAACTGTTCTCAGAGCGGAGTTAATGCAGTCATCAATTTCTGCTGGCTTCTTAATT